CGACAGTCAAGCGGTTTAATCACTGACCTGAATGGGAATCCCCTGGCTGAATTGTAGCTGAATGTTACTGTTTGTGTTGCCAGTTCTGTGACAAAGCCCACCAGACTGAGGCCCTCCACACTTGATGCTCGTAGGACCTTGAGTATCTGTGGAAACTTGACTAAAACAAGATTTGATTCTTGAAATGAAAAAATCACCAAATCTGTTATTAGAGGAAAAATCAGTTTTATGTCTGATTTAAAAATCAGAAATATAACTGGGAGTTAAAAGTTTAAGGAGATTAAGACTACCTCAACATATTAGATTCGACAATAGAGAGACTTATGTTGTATTCATTTGTCATCCTCTCAAATTAATGCAGTGCAAACCCAGTTGTTCATCTACACTATTGTCGAAAAGGCATACTAGTGTCTTAAATCTAAAATTCACCACCAGTGACCAAAGTTGGCAAGAGGGTCCAAAAATCTAAAATCGACCTCTGGCGTCAAAAAATCTCAAATTGGCTGGCTAGTGTCCAAAATCTCAATCTGAATTCTAGTGTCCCAAATCCAAAATTGGCCACTAGTGCCAAAATCTAAGGACGGACACAACTGTCCAGAATCTAACATCAGCCACCAGCGTCCAAAATCTCAAATTGGCTATTGGTGTCCGAGATCTCAATACTGCTTCTAGTGACAAAAAAACTCAAATTGCCTACTTGCTTCCAAAATCCTAATACCACCTCTACTAACCAAAATCTCAACTCGGACGCTAGTGTCCAAAATCTCAAATTGACCACTGGTGTCCAAAACCTAAATCGGCCACCAGTGTCCAACATCCAAAGTCGACCACTAGTGTCCAAAGTCTCAGATCAGCCGCCAATGTCCAAAATCTCAAATTGGCCACTACTGTCCAAAATCCAAAGTCAGCCACAAATATCCCAAATCAAAAATTGGCCACTAGTGTCCCAAATCTAAAATTGGCCACAAGTGTCCAAAACCTCAAATCAGCCATTGGTGTCCCAAATCTAAAACTGGCCACAAGTTTCCAAAATCTCAAATTGGTCACTAGGGTTCAAAATCTCAAATCGGTCACTAGTGCCCCAAATCTCAAATCGGTCACTGGTGTCCAAAATCCAAAGGGGGCCACTAATGTCCACAATCTCAAATCGGCTTGTAGGGTCTAAATCTAAAATCAGCCACCAGTGTTAAAAATCTCAAATTGGCCACTAGTGTCCAAAATTTTAAATCGGCAACTAGCATCCAAAATCCAAACTCAACCACTAGTGTCTAAAATCTAAAATTGGCCACCAGTGTCCAAAATCTCAAATTGGTCACTAGCGTCCAAACTCTAAAACCAGTCATTAGTGTCCCAAATCTAAAATCGGCCAAGAGAATCTAAAATCTCATAGCAGCAACTAGTGTCCCAGATCTCAAAGTGGCAACTAGTGTCCCACAAATAAAATCAGCCACGAGTGTCTAAAATCTGAAATTGGCCACGAGAGCCCAAAATCTAAAGTCAGACTCTAGTGTCCAAAAATCTAAAATTGGTTACTAATGTCCAAAATTGGCCGAGGGGTCCAAAACCTGAGATAGGCCACTTGTGTCCAAAATCTCAAATTGACTACTGATGTCAAAAATTTAAAATCGGCCTCTAGTGTCCAAAATTTAAAATTATACAGTAGTGTCTAAAATCTCAAATCAGCCACTAGTGTCCCAAATCTAAAATCGGCCACCAGCAACCAAAATCTAAAATTGGTCACTAGTGTCCAAAATCTCCAATTAGGCACTGGTGTCATAAATCTAAAATCGCCCACTAGTGTAAAAATCTCAAATCGGTTCCTATTGTACAAAATTTAAAATAAGCCACAAGTGTACAAAATCTTAAATCAGCCACTAGTGTCCAAAATCACAAATCAGCCACAAGTGTCCAAAATCTAAAATTGGCCACTAGCATCCAAACTCTAAAATCGGCTTCTAATGTCCAAAATCTAAAATTGGCCACTAGTGTCCAAAAACTCAAATCGGACAATAGTGTCTAAAAACGATTGGGAATTAGTAAAACGTCTTTTTACTGTTATGGTGTTTCTCTGGAGGGTGACACTTTAAAAACTCTTGTATGAATGTGCTGCCTATATCTTTAATTCCTGACACTCTAAAAGACACTAATTTAGGCCCAAACATGTCATTTTCTTCATTAATTTTTTAAAAATCGAAACTGCTTTGGGTTTGGAACCTGTTTCCTGAAAAAATTTCTTGGTTTTGGAACCAATACGCTTTGTTATGGCGCAAATGGGCTTCACATCAAAGCTGGAGTAAAGGATTGGAAAATTACCTCCAAAAATATAGCTCGAATGATATATTTTGTTCTGCAACTCTCTTCCTATCACTCGTTTGAGTTCAGACGATAAATATGTTTGAATACTCTCCTGGCCCCTTTCTGATCGAACTCAGTCATAATATACAACCTTTTCATACCAAAATGACTCATGGGCCAATCCCCCTGGAACAGTTTATGTCTTTATAGCTTATATAGGAAAGGAATACCCGCTACCCTTCCTTGGATTCTTCTCCGAGACATTTCGCATCGCGTGACGAAAGAAGAACCCTACTGCGTGATTTATGATTTAATTAACTTCTTGGAAAGTCACTCAAGAATGCAGCGTTCTGGTAAACAACTATTAGGCCTCGTCTAAAAGTATAAGAATTTTTGACTCACTGATCGGAGCTAAAAGCACAATAATATATCCAAGGCATTTGCTGAGTGCAATCTTCAGACAAGCAACTGTGAAGAAAATGAAAGGAAAAGTAAAAAATATGGATCGATCGTCGTCTCATCATCTTGGCAAGCGGTAATAGAGAGTAACCACGAAATCGCATAGTGAATATCGAAGAGACTTTGACAGATCAGTTACATGTTGCACGATTGCTAACCAGCATTTGTTTTAACATTTCATTCGAGCTTAATGTCACAAAATGTACTTCCCTATCACTTCCCTAACACTTCTCTATCACTTCTGAATGACATTTTAAGAGACTTTAATTTAATAGACATATATTTAATTGGATAGCCAAACACTTAGCTTACCGTGGAAAAAGTTAAAGTTGACGAAAAATTCATCGTGGCAATATTTTGGAACAATGAAGAGAACCAACGGAGTGAAAAAGAACTCGCCTACTGCCATCTGGAATGGAATATTTCTTCCACAAGACTTTTCTCTTTCACTTTCTCGCGCTTCCCTGCTCCTCTACCGCTGGTCAAAGATGAATACCCAATACATTTCGTGCATGTCATAAAGATTGCGTGACATATCAGTGGCCCAGAAATCCCTCAAAATTGAAGATTTGACAGATACAATTATTTTTTTTCCCAATCTTCTAAAGATTTAACCCTTTAACTCCCAGATAAAATTTGTCATTCTCCTTACTGTCAGCCATACAATTCTTATAATGTTAGTTCAGAGAAATTAGTATTGGATCAACTAATTATCCCCAAGTTTTTTTTTTATTTATTCTCATCACTTATCTGGTTGATATTGAAGTGATATTGTAAGGCAAATTTCTGTCTTGGTCACTCGTGGGGGTTGAGGGGTTAACAGAGACATGGAACACAATCCACACGTTCACTCATGGGAATCACTTTTATTAATGATGTAAATCATTCTGATAAATCCATTCAAAATGTTTTCATACACAACAATTAAATGTGAAAATATCACCATGTACGATGCAAATTTAGAATTAAACACTATCTGCATTGCAAACTCACTTTGTATGTAACTAAACTACCACATTTTTTTTTTCACCCTTAAAGCAAAATTAGAGTAGAATTTACAGTAGAATAGACTGAGGAAATAACTTAACCTTCGAAGACAAAAGAGGTGTTATTGTAAATAAAGCTTTGCAGGTAGTAAGGGGTATGTAAAATTAGTATGAATAAACAAGTTAAATTGTTCATCTAAGAAAATGGAAAGTGAGCAATTTCTTTGCATCCAGAGTGCTGAGAGAGGTTTCTCATGCTTGAGGACTACCACAACTTCCCTTAGAAAGACCAAAGGGTTGAAACACAAAAACATTGCTTTGTGAGTTATCAAATTCCTTCCCAAATGTCAGAAAAAAAAAATTCCCAATGCCTATCATTTTATCACCATAAATTTTTTCATCTCACATCTTCCACACCTTTTTAATGCTGGGATAATTGCGGCAGTGATTTTATTGAAGATACCTCATCCAGAATTTTAACCTTTTGACCCCTGAGAGAAACTAGCGTCTACTTCCTCCTTACAATGTCACCCCTGACTCAGACGTTAACCCTTAATGCGCAAAATCTGATTGTCAATTCTCCCCTTCAACTCCTACACATCTCCCTGTAAATTAGTTACTAGAATCTACTGTTATATCAAAATAATAACTTCTACCTGATAATTTTGAGTATTCTCATTACCTTTTTGCTGACTAATGTGTGAATGCAATTGGGAGAAGTTAAATGTTCATCACTTCTGGAAGTTTAAGGTTTAAAGGGACGAAATTAAAGGAAATGATCACAAACTAAAGAAGCTCTTGATTGTAAAACAAATTCTCCTTGTCAGCACCTTAGGAAATGTATAGAGAACAGTATGGAGAATAAGCATACTGATGTTAAGGTGTACAGGATTAAAAATGTATGATTATATGTAATGCATCAAAAGACAAGTCTTTAGGCTTCCTTCTTCTTCAAGTCAGGCTTGACATTCCAGTAGTAGAGAACTTGGAAGGTGAGAGTGGCATTCAGCGTAACTGACACAAGAAAGGTCACAAGCATGACCTTGTCGCCAGTCTCTTGTATAGTGGTGAAAATGCGCGCCACGGCTCCCAAGGTCAACAAGAGAACCATGATGAATGATAATTGCCCTGTGTGGCCATTACGGAAATTAGTGACTATCTGTATGAGCTGAAGAGGAATTCAACATCAGTACAATGACATGAAACAATTACAAAAATTTCTACTCTCCTCCTCCCTGAATAGGGTGCTAGTCCATTCAAAGTTTCTATTTCATCCCTTCTAACCCCAGCATTTGATAAAATGTCCATGGCAGTTTGCCCGTACCCATTTGTACTGCTGGATAGAGAGGGGCTCTGGGAGAGTTAAGTGTCTTGTGCAAGAACTCAACACAATGACTTGGCCAGGACTTGATCCCAGACCTCTAAAACTGGAATCTAGCATTAGACTAGTACATCTCTTGGTGCACAATGTGATATTAACAATGAATGATAAATCCTTTAGTTAGTAGGTCATCTAAGGATGACAGAAAAAACAGAAAAATGGCAACAAAGGAAAAAATAAGGTGACTCCACCCAGGGATAAGACATGAGCTTCTTGATTCAGACTCTGGCAAAATAAATGCTTGTTATCACAACTATGAACAACAAAAGAGTTAAAACTATTGAAGAAGAAAAAAAGCATCAATAATGTCCTGCAACTCACCCTACTTGTTGCAAGAAGACCAATGTTAAATGAAGCAAATTTAGTTAACACTGACATTGGAGTCAGGCCAGATGCTAGAACATAAACAATTCCTCCATACAACACTGGGAAAACAACACCTGCCAAAAGTCGGCTGGTGTAGTAAAAGTACATCAAGATCAAAAGACAGCCCTGAATTGACATGAAGAAATTTTCACCCCAAGCACTGAAAAGGAAGGAGAGACCATGGATTAAGAGGAATCTATTTTAACCCTTGAACTGAATTCTCTCTACCTGTTTATTGGATAATGTATGGATATTAGAATAATTTGAAAGGAGAATCTAGAGGTGTATCAGAAGCCAACTAAAGCATTATATCCATGCACCTCTTGATTTGGGCCTGATTTGATCACTCTTTCTCACTAAACCCACATCAAAATTCCACAAACAGCAGCTGGTAACTGAGTCTTTCCTTTCAAGCCAGTCAATTAAAATGTTGCAAAAACACATTCCCAACTCTCCTCCCCTCCCCTCCCCTCTTTTGGTGGTCCATAAGTACAGAGGAGGCCTTATTCACTTAAATGAAAACAAAAAAATTCTCTCTCAAAGTAAAGATCTGATTATCAATTCTCCCCTCTAACTGCCACAGATCTCCCTGAAGATTAGTCTGGAGAATTTGTTGTCCCATCAAGATAACACCCTCCATCTGATAAAAGTATCTTTTCTCATCACACCTGATTGCTGAATAATGCATCACAATTCTGAGGAGAAACTACATGTCAATCCATTCTAGGTGTAAATGGTTCAATGTGCTGTTCTGCTGCACCATAAATCAATGTTTTTGAATGTTTTTTTTTTTGGAAAGAGAACACCCACTGCAATCTGGATTTGTCCACAGATCACAAATTCTTATACAGCCCTACTGCACATGTTTTAGCCATTTAATCATACCTCCCTAATAAGCTAGTACAAACTTGGATTACTCTTCATTCCTTAGATTAAAACTTACCTAAAAGGGAAAGACTTGGCATAGCTGTATGTTCCAGAAGTGGTCAAAGCTACCAACTCAAGTATGAAAGCTGTTAAACTGAGACCTTCCACACTAGAGGCTTGTATAACCTTGATAATCTGGGGAATTTTGACTGTGAAAAGTAAATTTGTTGATGATACCATATTAGTTTAGCACAGTGTATTGGCCTGTATCTTTTTAAATTTCACCATCATGCACCATTTGGCAAGGCTCCTGGGAAGAACTGATATATGCATAGGTATGTTTTGTAGTGGGGGGGGGGGCTTGCTGCAGAAGCTTGCGTCAAAGCATTGCATGCAGCAGTTGAAAATCAATTAAGCATCTGTGACCTTAATAGGTTTAGTCGTAATGCACATAGCTCACGTAGCCAAGAATGGCTCTATACATGCACGATCTCTTCAAGTTGTGCCATACTCTATGTATTGATCGTTTGGCAAAATTTCAGCAGAAATCGACTCCTGCTCTTGATCTGACTTTTTTAAAGGTGGGTGTGTATTCCGTTTCCAGTCTGTGCCCTTAGGTTCTTTGCACCACGAGGTGTTCCCTGCCTGATGTGGGTGGAGGGGATATCACGCGATCGCTCACACTAAAAGGACCATTTTCACATAGGCTGCAAGATCTGTTATACTTATCACAAGAAATTCTCAGCATGGCATTGCTTCAACAGTCCCCAATTTAACATAAGTTCGATCGTTCGATCGATCAATCATTTTGATTTCTGAAAATAATATAATTTCTAAAACTTCGAGTGAAAATTTCCAAACAACTTACTCATTGCCGATCCAACGACAATTCCATAACCCAAGCACTTACTGATTGCAATCTTCAGGCAAGCAGCTGCAACAACAAAAAATCAACAAGATATCTTGAAATATTAACATACAAAAAAGATCTACAGACTATTCTATACCGAAATAAAAAAAGATCTCAAGGTTTCAAAACCATGATACAAGAAACTATCTGTCAGCGTATGAGCTTAGCATACCATGGAAGAAGTTGAAGTTGATAAAGAATTCATCGTGGCAGTATTTTGGAACAATCAACAGCACAAGAGGAGTGAAGAAAAACTCGCCTACCGCCATCTTAGCGTCCACGTCAAAACTATAGTTAGTCATGCATGTAAAAATCCCTGAACTGTCGTCATAAAACTCTTGCTTCGTTTGTCCTAAAAATAAAAAGAATGTGAAAAAGAAATAGTAACTTTTCAGTGAGCTGTTCTTCTCAGTTACAACTCGAATTTTCAATCATTTAACTTCCGATTTGCTTATCCTTCTTCAGCTTCGCCCACGTCAGTTAATACCTGGCAAATTTAGAAAATCTTGTTCGTTACAAAGTTCAAACTGAGGTTGAAAGGCTCTGTTGCCAACGTACACACTGCAGAAATAAGCAGGTAAAGTGTATTAGAAGAAAGCCTATTTATTGTATGAAGAAGACCATAATCATCTTCCAAACCATAGGAACGATAGAATTCCCCATAATTCAACCCAGTCTTACTTCGGATGTAAAACATTAGTCAGATTAGACAGCAGTGAACGTACTTCTGACCCTATAACTCGGCCGATAATAGCACATACGTAAAAGAAGAGTACAATTTGAATGAAACAAACCGAAGTTGCACTATACAGTCAACTCTCTACAAAGGTAACTTTAATTTCTTATTTTGGGTCAGAAAAAGCGACAGCGCAAGGAGATGACAGAAATGGTTATTATCACTTGACATCAATGTGCATATTCTCCATACTGTTCGCCTTACGTCTCCTACGATAATGACAAGGAGAACGTGTTTAACGATCAAGAACTTCTTCAGCAAGCGATCATTTCCTTTCTTCTCATAACCTCCATGTTTGATTCAGTGGCGATTCTGTAAGGAGAAATTAGATGCTGGTCATTCTTAACGGTTAAAGAATGAAGAGGAACAAACAACGTACACCGTCACGCGCATTAGGACTTTCCAGTTTCTTCTTAGATGGGATGCACACATTGACTTTAGGACGCAGGGATAAAAGTACTTTGCCAACGTGAACATTTTCAGACAACAGAAAGCAAATTCTTAGTTGTAACATTAGTTAAGCAACGAATCGACGTCAGTATCTGAGCAACTGCGCACCTATGCAACTACCCCTCCCCTTACCCAACTTTAACCGTAAATTGTTATTAGTTGACTGTTGTTGGGTTAGGGGAGGGGTAGGTACACCACGCTAGCAATGCTGGTTTGGAGTCACGCGAAGTGTCCAATTACGTCATGGCTGTGGTAGGTAATACCGGATCCAGAATTTGTTTTGCTGTTGCTGTGCGCGAAGATTTAGTCTCTGTTCGTCATAGCGGGGGCGAGAGTTGACAACTATTGTACCACCTCCGATTAATTTGCAGTGGAAATGTTAAGCTGTTTAAAAATTTACCTGGTTACTAAGATCAACCTCACAAATCCCTTTTATTACTGACAATCTTCTCAGAACAGGCAGTTAATCACACTTCATATTTTTTTAAATGAGCTTGAGGTGACCTCTGATCTAGTCAGCTCAGCAATGACCAATCTTAAGGAGATGTTTGTGGAAGTTTGGGGACCAACAGCAAACCATTAACAATTCAGACTAGTTTTTCCGATAGAAACTTGATATCTCCAGAGCGGTTTTGGTTATCAGGAATATTTTATCTGTTCTGCGAATCTATTATGAAGTAATTGAACGGATTATCCTCGATAGAAATCGTAAGCTCGAGATAACACAGCTCCAGTCACGCCGGAAAGACGAGAAATCGTGCCGCGGAGCTGATAATCCTTATATCTTGTAAACAATTCACTGCTTTCATAACTTTGGATTTCCTCTGGAGGCGCAGACATCGCTGACAATTTGCCACACATCTGTCGGCTTTTCTGAACAAAATAATCAGTCAAATTAAAAGCAAGATTGATTAAAATTGAACTTCTCTTAATGAGATACAGAATCAAAAGTCCACTATGGGTTATGAGAATTTAAGAAATAATCATGATATCCGAATTAACCTCAAAAACAAGAAGATGGGGGATTGTTTACGTTCAAAAACAATCTCGTTCTTTTATTTTTTAAATGTTTGTGTAACCTGTTAATTTGTAAGACAATATTCTGAGTTGCAAAAGTTTTGTGCAATAGGATCAGTTCTACAAGCTCTCCAGCAATATCTCTATCAACAGTTACTGTTTCCATAAGCAGAAGATTGTACTAACTTTTTTGACGAGAGAATTCACGCAAGATTTTTCCGTGATAGCGACCGCCGTGAAAATTATGTTCTGTACCGGAAACACAAGTTATTATTCGACAGTTTTATTAAATTTATTATCTAATTCAATATTCTCACAACTGAGCAAAACAGTGGCTTTATATTTTTCATTTTCCTGGCGCAATCAACCGCAAAAACTTTCACAGCACTTCACACCTGAGCATGTTGTATTACCATAATCGCATCTTTCGCTTTCATGATAAAGAAACTCTATTACTTGAGAACTCTCAAATTACTCGCATCCAATGTTGTTTGTTAGAGAGACAATAAATTAAGTATCGCGTTATCTTTGACGTTCAAATATTGTCACCATCTCTGAGGTGTAGGTTACAGACAAATTCTCCCCTGGTACTGTTTACTTGGAATGAATCCATTCAATTTGGACGGATATATTTAAAGTCGTGAAAGACCCCGGAATTTCCAGCTGTTTCATCTGCCAACACGCAGCGAAAAATTCGCGTAGACGACAGGATTTCAAGAATTTGGAGTGGCAATTCGTAAACATAGGTTTTAACTCTTAACCCAACTTAAACTAGCGAAATATTGTCATGTCGAACAATTTGACATTAACTGGCTTCTTTTGGGTGATTTTCTCCGTTCTGAGCGCGCTCGCGGCTTCTACGGGTTTTTTCCTTCCTTATTGGATACAGGGACAGATATACAACACAACAGTTTACTTAGGCGTGTTTCGTCGATGTAATTTCTTAGAAAAACAAGCAAACGGGCTCTCAGTCCTTGTGCGAGCCTGTGGCCGATATGCAAGTTTTCAAGACATTCCTTCGGAAGCATGGAAAGCCAGCACAGTGATGATAGGAATCGGTTGTGGATTCCTCCTTGTTGTAGCCTTCACAGCTATATTTTCCTGCTGTTGTAAAGACATTCTCACGAGGACTTCGGCTCGGGTCGGAGGAGCACTGCAAGTAGTGGCTGGTGAGTAAAAATTTGAGACTAAAATCAATGCGCCAAAAGCTGATCTCATTACAAGGGTGTCGAGTATATTTACCAAGCAGCTCCTAGCTCCTAAATATAACACCTCGCAATAGTTTGTTTACTTTCTTTCGAAACTTTCTGGTTTAAATTTCGAATTTAAAGGGATTCTTTATTGTGCCACGTTAAATTTGAAACGATTTATCACTTAGTTTGCTTCGCTGACCTGAAAATTGCTTAAGTTGTCGGTGTTGCAAATTATCCGTCTCTCACCTCTCAATTAATCACAAAATTAAAGTCTACAAAGTTGAACAACGCTATTATAGCACTTGTGCAAATATTTTGGGAAAACTTTCCTCGATAATTTCTAAGTGCTATTCCGTGAAAAGAAAGTACTTTCCAAAGTTAACATTCCGTTCAAAAGAATTACACCTACTACTTTCTAATGAATCGAGGTAAATTGCAGTTTCGCTCTCATGACTATTAATAACAAAGTAGCCGCGATGAATCGACAAATTGACACAATGACGATTACCAAGGTTACATTTCACAAAACTACAAATTGAATCCGGTTCAAATTGCAATGAACATTGATGGAACTATCTAGGTAAAATTTGGGTTGAGTATTTACTTGAAACGTCAAAACAGATTCAATTAATTTCCTTCGTTCGTGAGTAATAAATGAAATATGCTCGGGTCAATAATTTGACCGCAAGAAAATTACCTACTGCTGTGTTGAAAAGGAAACTTTTTTATTCAAAAACAAAGCTCTGTTGTGGTGTTCTTAATTTCATCTGATAAACAAAAGTATGCTGGCTCCATTAAGAGAGTGCATATTGTTTTCGCAGCGATAATATAAAAAATAGTGATCGATTCAATTCAGATGAAAATTCGTGCCGTGTCTGTTTGTACACAAAGGGAAGGAACCGATTAACGAGTTTGAGTTTCAATAAAAAGGTCGCCGGGGAAAGGTCAGATATCTAACGTTAATAGATTTTTAATTGTTCTTTTTTCTCTCTCTCTGTAAAATAATACGCAAAGTAGCAATTTATTCAATAGAACGTTCTAGGAAGTAATTAGTGAATTCCAAACATAGCTGGAGATAAATTATTTTTTACCTATTTCTTCGAATTCCCAGAGACGCATTTAGAAAGGAATGACATTGTCGTCGGTTAGGAGTAATGCAGAACCCCAGGAAACTTGAATCAAACAGTTATTGAGATGCTGTGACTTGACAAGTATTCAGGCTCAAGGGTAGATCTGATTTGTGATCGACACCGCGCTGTGGATAATAAGAACCATAAACTCTTCGGCACTTTAGGGATAATTCCCTAAAACACCACGGCCTTGTTCTTTCCTTTCTCTCTCCATTGCTCTTTAGGGAGGGAAGGTAAAGTCATACTAAAATAACTCCACTTTTTTCAATCTCCTGTTTTCAATCTTGCTTTTATCGAGAGGTCTGGCGTCGAGACCTGAGCGAGTCATAATGGCGTGTTCTTGGGCGTGGCACTCTACACTCCACTCTCCCAATGCCTCCCTCCACCCCCCACCCAGAACATAAATGGGTACCAGCTAAATGTCGTGGGAGGGGGGGTAAGTTTTAATGGACTAACACCCCTTCCCAGGGGGAGTAGTAAAACCCCTAGTTGCTTCATGCGTCAGAAATCTGGATAAGTTCATGCTCAAGTGAAGCTTTTCCTCACTATCTTACCTTGTTCTTACTAAGTATTAATTTATCTATTTCTTCATTTTAATCCACAGGCTTTCTTCTGGCGATTGGTTTTGGTATTTACCCTTCAGGCTGGGGAAGTGTTGAATTTAAGCAAGCTTGTGGAAAAGAAGCAAATTTTTACAGGCTCGGCCATTGCAAACTTAGCTGGGCTTTCTTTTTGTTCGTGGTAGGAACTGGTTCGGCTTTTATTTGTGCTGTTTTGTCCACTCGAGCTGGGAAACAGAAAAAGCCGATCTATTCTAGAACGAGTATCGAGCGATCAGACAGTTTCATCATGTAGTTCGATGATAGGCAACTATTTGTAGCATCTCTCTAACGACGAAAAAAAAAATCTGGATGAACACCTGACTGCATTTTAAGTCAATGACGTGGGTATTATGCTCAGAAGGCGAGCATTTTCGTGAATATAGCTTATCTTACCCAAGGAAGTCCAGAAATTCCCGAAGACGTTCCGATTATATTACGAAGATGTACCGAAGAGTAGAAGGAAATGCAGTGTCTTCCACATGTGAAGGTTCAGTTTTATGTAAGATTAGTTGCCTAGACGGTAGTTCTCTCCTATTGATTCGAGTGTATACAACACCTTTCATTTTATCAGAAGAGTGACTCAGTGACTGTCATAATGACAAGCTGCCTTATTGAACCAATTGTAGATTCACCATTAAACAAGTGGTTTTTCCAAGCGTATTAAGTCCCTTTATTTTTCTTCCCCTCATCAGCGTGCGTTCCCATGTAGTTCAGACCAGTGTAAAAACGAGCGAGGTTTGGGTCGGGTAGCTTTTTACGCGACCCGACCTAAGCCTCTCTCGTTATTCGCTCTGCCTGTACTATCGTGTCATTTACTATTTAGCACGGAAATTTGCTGAACGCCTGGAATAGGCCTCACACATTTCGCTGTAATTAGTATTAAAGTGTGACCATTTCCTCATATTAGGCATAGGTTAGAGATCATGCCACCTACATTATAAGTAGCAAAAGAGAGTATCCTAACGCCCATTTTCTTCAAATCTCGTTCACCAAGGGATGGATCGCCGAACGCTTTATCAAGACCAATCAACCTTTGTAACGTGCTCTGTGAGTAGCCTGCGCGAAATTCGCAAGTGATTTTGTTTCGAGGGCGGAGTCACATGCACAGGCAGGACCCTTGGATCCGGGACAGCAGAGGTATTATTGGAAATAAAAGCTCAAAGCCTGGTTCAAACACCTAACAACCCCCTCCCCTCCCCTCTCCACTTCTTTTTGTCATGCCCCTTATTTACAACTTCAAGTTTCCTGTGAGCCCAGCGTTCTCATGAAGCACTGACAGACATCAGACCTTGCTGACAATTTGCCACACAAAAATCACAAATTCATCTGACAACTCTTCTGAACTAAATAATCAGTCAAATTAAAAGCAAGAATTTCTCTTAATAAGATACATAATGAAGACTCTCCGATGGGTCATGAGAATTCAATAAATAATCATGATAATCAAGTTTAGATTATAATAACCTTGAAAACAAGATGGGTGATTGTTTATTAGACTAAGTTCACAGGAAATGTAACACAATTAACAGAACAACAAAGTATGACAAAAGGAGACATAAATTGGACCAATGCTTTGAAAAAAAGTTCCTAGAAATCTATCTGTACTGTTTCAATTTCCAACTGCTTAATTGTTCTCTGGCACATATGAAAACTAAGCCTAGCACACTGTCACAAACAGAGAGAAAGTTGACTAATATCATCAGCTAAACATAATTGTACTTTGTAACTTTAGACACAGCAACTGACAGTATTAATCTCAACTGCATCTCATGTACACACATGAAGCTTGTGTCTTGGTTGTAGTAATAAGCATGCACTATCGCAGCTTCTGTTGTTGACCAATGCAAAATTTCAGTAGAGTTTATTTTTCCAGCGGAGCATAATTCAATAGCTTTTCAATGAGATCCACATGTGAAAGAAGCATCCTTCTACAACAGTATCTTTTAAGACCCAGAGCATCAAGAGCATCTCTGATGGGACAAAAAAGGAGTGTTAAACTTTGAACTTAAAGGGTGATCAAGAAGTAATTTCTCCCAGCAATATCAAATGAATGTAAAGTCAAGACACCAGACAAGAATGGGAAGATTCTTAAGAGGGCTTCATCCTTTGACCCAGAAGAGACTAACATCTTAATTCTCCTTACAATATCAACCCTGAATCACACATAAAGGTCATGAGAATAAAGAAAATGATCATCAACTAATGGTGCTCTTGATTGTTGAACAAATTCTCCCTGTCAGCAACTTAGAAAATGTATAGAGAACGGTATGGAGAATTTATATACTGATGTTAGGATGTAAAGGGTTAATACTACTTGATGTTACACTTCATTCTAAAATTATCAAGAATGGGAGTCAACAATTCAATAATGGAAGTAACTGACTTGTCATATAATAACAAAATCAACCTGAACTCTGCTTCGCAAATTCTCAGTTTTGCTTTAATAATTTTGAAATTATTCCAGTATATTTGTAAGCTTGCTCGACTTTAAGTCTAATGGTGACCTTTTTCAATGGGAAACTGTTGCGGGGAGTCTAAAGAGACCATTTAGTAGCATTTTTGCGACTCCAGTTCAGACAAGAAGCTAAGAAACCCGGAACTGTATTTGCTTTTTTTCTGCGTCAAATCACATACACTAAATATTTACCCTTCTGTATATTCTGCTTGTAGGAAGCCGAGGTAGGTTTCCCACTTATTCCCAATCACTTTCCCACACGTAAAGCAGCGAATAGGAATGATCATGATCCTCGAATAACTAGAAACGAAATAAAACGCAACTGATAAATTACAATAATCTACAGAATCGGAATACTAGCACGTGCAAACATCAATAAGTGCAAACTCCTTGAAAGACTTGAAACAAAGTCTACATGACACGTTCACTAAAATATTCAGATATTCAAATATGCGAAAATCAAGGCAAAATATTACCTTTAATCAGCTCCAGACGATAAAAATCGGAGAAATAAACGCACTTTTCGCCTGAAAACGAACTACAACGCTGTTCCTGACTTTGCTCCAGTCTCTCGCGGACAGTAGCATTTGACCCGCTGAAGAGATAGATTTCAGGCTCAGCTGTTTCAGTCACGTTTGAAGATGGCTGGTAAAAGTGTAGGATCTGGAATCTCTTCTTTATTACAAGGATCTTGTAAATTTTGCAAGGTTTGTAACATATTTAATGTTTTTTGAATTGTAAACTTGAGCCCTCCAGTGAAAAACTTTTTCGTCATGATCAAGTCAGATTTTCTCTTCCGTTGTGGCAAATTGCACGTTGCGCTATTTTTACTCTGTAATTAATTAGATGGCTTTTTAAGTGTTTGTGCATTTTACTGAAATTAAATTTACGCATAATTTGAATTTTAAAGAAAAATGAGGCAAGTCATAATTTTTATTTTCTACTCTTAATATATTTGTTTAGATATTCACAACAGCTCTTCCCGATTTTCTCTGCTAACAAAAGGGGTGAGGGACTGAAATAGGGGTCACCTTTGGGTTTACCCCTGTTGCTGTACCCCTTTCCTAGCTGAAACTGCATACTGTTTTCATCTTCAAGAAATTTTTACAGTTTATTTCTGTGATTAGCGGACAAGGGTTTTTTACTGATGAATTCAAGTGAAATATGAAGTGATAATGCTCGCTCGCCTTTCGACCTTTTTTAGTGAAAATAATTCACATAGATGTTACTATAAATGGATGAATAATCAGTAGAATTAAATTTCACAGCAACGAGCAGCCTGGTTCAAAAGATATCCACAGACATGGTTTAGGGGTTTGCAAACATCAGCAGCTCGGAATGAACAGGTGTGTTTTAAATCCAGCTTAAAGATGCAAATGCAGACTATTTATCATTGGAGAACTTTGTTTTTACCTCATGTGATTATAATGTTGGTAAATTATTTCTGATCATGATGGATCTACTTGATGTCTTGCATATGATGTGACAGGTGATATTAACTCTTTCATTCCCATGATCTAGCTGTTAATTCTCCCCTTAATCCCCTCCTAAATTAACCCCCAAGAGTGACTGGCATCTAATTTCTCCTTACAAGATCATACCTGAATAAAACATTAAGGTTGTGTGAATAAGGGAAATAATCAACAAATAAAGAAGCTCTTGATTGTTAATCAAATTCTCCTTTTTAGAACCTTAAGAAATGTTAGGGTGTAAAGAGTTAATAACTTCTGAGAGTTGAAGGGTTGAATGCATTGTATTGTAATCAGGATGATGATGATGATGATGACAGTGATGATGATGATGATGATGAGATATCTTTGGAAAAACTATTTGACAGACATGTTCCAATCTCTCACTCTAATATTGCCATTATCTTGCAGCTTTTTGACAAGATTCTGATTGCCAACAGAGGAGAGATTGCCTGTAGGGTATGTAACAGAGATCTGGGAGCATGTGATTTAAGTTTACACTTTTATTACATCTTGTCATTGTACATGAATTTCCTTTGTTCTTTTATTTTTAGGTCATGAAAACGTGTAAACGTCTTGGAATTAAAACTGTTGCTATCTATAGTGAAGCAGATGCAAATGCTGTGAGTTTACTATCAAAATACTTTTTCCTTACTCCTATGTCTTTATTTTTTGGATTAATTAAACTACATAATACCAATAAACTCAAATCATCATACATTAGAGTCTGAAGAAAAAATTGGCATTTTAAGCAGAAGATTTAACAATAGCCTTTTCTTCAGGAGCAACTATCAATTGTGAAATAGGTATAGCTCTGAAAAAAGGACCACAGGAATTGTATTAGATAAAATCTTAACTGATGGAAATTAAAGGAGGCCTTTCTAGGCTTTTAAGCAGCAATCAGTTACTGGTGACTTGCTTTTAACTGAAAATCTCTGTTTGCCCTTTAACTCCCAAGATCTCAATTGTAATTCTCTTTACTGTCTGCCATACAATTCTGGTGATTTGATTTTGGAGAATTAGGTGTTAGATCAGCCAATAAAACTCTAATTCATTATTGATATTTTTCTTTATTCCCATCACTTGTCTGCTTGTTATTGTGATGATATTATGAGAAGTTCCATCTTGATCACTCATGGGAGTTAAACCTTTAAACTCATAGAAGTGATTAACATGCAACTTCTTGCTATGATACTCAAACATTGTCCAGCAAATAAGTAATGAGAATACCCAAACTTATCAGGTAGAAGTTGTTGTCTTAATCTAATTCTAAATTCTTGGAACTAATACACAAGGAATTCTGCAGTAGCAAGAGGGGAGAATTGACAATTAGATCTTGGGATTTAAAGAGTTATGGGTTAAAGAAGCTAAATGACTTAAACTTTATTATTGAACTTTAAATTATTTTCCATTTTAGCTGCATGTCAAAACAGCAGATGAATCATTCTGTGTTGGTCCTCCTCCAACAAATCAAAGTTATCTCAACATGGATGCAATCATGGAAGCCTTACGCACAACAGGAGCACAAGCGGTAGACAATGAACATCTTAGCCCTTAACTACTAAAGATCTTAACCTTTTATACACTAGCATCATTATACAACTTCTCCTTGCTGTTCTCTATACATTTTCTATGGCATTGCAAGGAGAATTTGTTTAACAATCAAGAGCTTCATGACTTTGTTTTCATTTCCT